CATCTGTCTGCCCATGCAACAGAACTTTTGGTAGTGGATATTTCTGAACAGTTGTGTTGTCATGTGTTTTGGTGTAGGATAACAAGCACTTGTTCTAAAATTCTTCTATAGCTTTATTGATGACATCTTTATCTATATCAGGTAGGTCTTCATAAGGTACCATAAGGATATCGTTGTTGTTGTAAGCCACCATGATGATTGTAGTGGTCCCACCGGGTGTGCCAGAACGTGTGTCAGCACAAAAACGAGTCTCGTGCTGGGACACATGAGCAAGTCGGAAAGGGTCTACTCGATGGAGCTGTAGATCCACCTGGATTCCACGCAGGGGCAACCGATCCTGCGTACTCCTCCCGAAACATGCCAGTCAATTTGACCATGCAATTGGCAAGGAGAGAAAGTTTATCAGCAATTTAAGGTGGAACATGTCGGTCTGTGCCCAGACAGTTCCAAGTGTGCCGCTTCGGGGGCAGCCAGTGGTGATAAGCGACTAAATAGCCGATCTGCATAGAAATTGGCTGTTACGGTCTGTAAAGCTCGTGAGTAGCGATTAATTTCAAGTTGGCAGGTACAATACTCGTATATGTAAATAAGATCATCAGCTAGGTAGATATTACCAGTGTAAAGCGTTAAGCCGATGAATCTAATCAGGAAAAGATATAGTACGTGAACGAATTGACTATCTGATACGAACAGATCTACAAACGCTCTGAATCTAATCTGTTACCACCAACAGTGAGGTTTGACCGGATCGATGGCAGCTACGATGATAGTAACAAACTAAAACCAAAAAATATGTAAAAACATCCATACTTCGATAGGCTTTCCTAAAGACATACTATACGTAAATGCTCGGATGAATCGGCTAAAATAGCCGATTTAGGTGAAGAGAACTATAGCGTGTAGACAATCGACTATTTCACTCAGATAGACCTATGGACTTCTCAGACCTAACCTGCTATCTCTAATAGTGGGGTTCAACCGGATCGATGCAGCCATGAAAAAGACAACAAATCAAACCCTTAAAGCCAACAGATCTATTCACGCTTAACAGAATCATGTAAACACACTGTAGGCGTTAACATACAGGTGATAGGCTATTTAGCCGATGCAGGCATAGCAAACAGTTAAGGTTACGCCTGATCAAGAACAAATCTACTGCCTAGCATCCTCCAATCTAAAGTGCTATCAGTGGGGATCGACCGGATCATTACAGCCATAATAGTGAACCATAGATTAGATTTAACCAGCCAGCAAACCTCTCAATGATCATTCATGCCTTAACCGCGTACTATGCATGATCAAGATCGAAACAGAACAACCGATAAAACAAGATCTGCCATTCAAAGTAAGAGATATCGTGGTATAACAAAGCAAACGACGGACTAAAAAGATATGAGGCCGATCTAAATCGATCTTGACCGGGCAGGTTGATGTTGCTGCAAACTAATGATAATGAAAACATCAGCAATATTGGTAACTTAATGAATCTACCAAAGACTGCCATTCTTAGGTAGAGCCGATAACTTGACCTTAATCTAGTTCGAGCAGTGGAGGTCGACCGGATCGATGCAGCCGTACTTGAATTAGACAAGAGTCGATAACTAACTTATACCAGAGTCATAGTGGAGGTCGATCGGATCGATGTAGCCATACGAATAGAAGTCTAAGCCATGATGGTACTTACAGATGAACCGGAGGTCGGCCGGACCGATGCAGCCCTGCTCGCTGAAGAATTCACCGAGATCTACTCTACTCCTACTTCTAAGGGGTGGTCGGAGCCAAAAAAATGAAAATGACTTGTATTTGATTGGTCGTCTCCTTTACAATAGCCGGGGTTCAATATTTATACCCAGAGCCTAAACACAAATCCTACTTAAGTATGACTCGGTACAATCTTTGGTATGAAGAAAACATTCCTATCTTAAGATAACTTGGACCCTAATCTTTCCCCTTTTGTAGAGTCCGATATGTATCTTCCCGACGCCAATCATAGCTCATCATCGTTATATGCTGACGTCATTCGAAGAGAGACGATTCCAGTGTCGCATCCGAACCGTCTGATATCAATTCTCATGCAATCGATTCCTTGATTGACACAATCTTGGAAGCCTTCGAATTCCCGTGTTCTCCCAAATTTTGGTGTAAACAAGGCTCAAGGCGGTGCAAGACCGTGAGGAGGCGCCGAGCTCCGAGCAGGGCACCATCGGAGGCAAGCTGTTGTACATGATGGAGCAGTGGCCTGCCTTCGATAAGAAGAAGGAGGAAGGATCCGGTTCGTCTGGCTCCAAGGAGCGTCGCCAGCGTCCAGCGGCAACAAGAAGGAGGAGAAGGGACCTCGGGGCTATGTCGGCGCTGATGGCACCGCCGCCGGTGAGCGCAAGGCGACCAAAGATGACACCTGCAACAACTGTGGCAGGACTAGCCACTAGGCCAAGGACTGCCGCCTTCGTCCACGCCATGGTGGGCAGGCTCACGTCACGCAAGCAGAGGAGCAGGATGCCACCCTATTCCTAGCGCACGGGTGCATCGAGCTACAGCAAGACACAGGGGAGGGGGTGAAAGGTCCAAGCTTTCCCCATTCTGGGTCGGCTGGCTCCGCCGAACTCCACCTTGATGAACCGCGCACCCACGCCTTCATCGGCAAAGGTGCCACCGATGACAAGATCGATGGCTGGTACCTTGACACCAGTGCGATGCACCACATAACTGGTCGACGCGAGTTCTTCTCTGAGCTGGACTCCGGCGTGAAGGGCTCCGTCAAGTTCGGTGATGCCTCCGCCGTCGAGATCAAGGGCGTCGGCTCGGTCATGTTCAAGGCCAAGATGGGGAGCACCGTCTTCTCACCGAGGTGTAGTACATCCGGGCCTTGAAGAAGTCCATCAGTGTTGGGCAGCTGGACGAGAACGGCTCGCGGGTGGAGATTGAGGACGGCGTGCTGCGCATCTGGACGCCTACTACGATGATGAGCCTCTACGATACTGCACCATGGCAAGCTTCCTCGGTGACTAGTCTTCACCGGACCAGCTCGAGAGGCTCTTTGCCCAGCTTCATCTGACGATGCCGGTGAGCCGACCACTTAAGCTGAGGCGCAGGGTGATCCGGCATGGCGGGCAGTGATGGAGCAGGAGCTCAAGTCCATCGAGCAAAACCTCACCTAGGAGCTGGTGCCACTGCGTGATGGCCACCGCCCTATCATCCTGAAGTGGGTGTTCAAGCTCAAGAAGGACGAGCTGGGCGCGGTGATCATACACAAGGCGCGGCTAGTAGCACGCGGCTTTGTCCAGCAGGAGGGGATCGACTACGACGACGCCTTCACCCCTATGGCGTGCATGGAGTCAGTCCATGTCCTCCTCGCATTGGTTGCTCAAGAGGGGTGGCAAGTCCATCACATGGACGTGAAGTCCGCCTTCCTCAACGGTGACCTCAAGGAGGAGGTCTACGTGCATCAGCCACCTGGCTACGCCATCGCCGGAGAAGAGGGGAAGGTGTACCGCTTGCGCACGACACTCTATGGCCTATGCCAAGCACCGTGTGCTTGGAATGCGAAGCTCGACGCCACACTCAAGAAGATGGGCTTCAAGCAGAGCGCGCATGAGGCGGCGGTGTACCGACGGGGCCGCGGACGCAACATTCTACTGTTCGGCATCTACATCGACAATCTCATCATCACCGGCGCTGAAGAGGAGAAGGTGTAGGTGCTCAAGGCATAGATGAAGAAGGTGTTCGACATGAGCGACCTCGGCCTCCTCTGCTTCTACCTCCGCGTCGAAGTGCGCCAGGACGCCACCGGGATCGCCCTCTACCAAACCCACTACGCCAAGCGCATCCTCGAGCTCAGTAGCATGACAGGCTGCAATCTAGCCCACACCCTGATGGAGGAGAAGCTCAAGCTGAGTCGGAAGAGCACGGCGGAGGAGGTCGATCCAACCCATTACCAGCGGCTAATCGGGAGCTTGCGTACCTGGTCCATACACGGCCAGACATCGCGTTTGCCGTCGGGTACATGAGCCGGTTCATGGAGCGGGCGACGATGGAGCATCTGTAGGCCGTCAAGCGAATCCTGCGCTACGTGGAGGGCATACTTGACTACGGTCTTCACTACGAAAGGGCCCCTAACATGGTGCGGTTCGTCGGCTACTGCGACAGTGACCTCGCCGGCGATGTGGATACCAGCAAGAGCATAACCGGGACGATGTTCTTCCTTGGTGATTGCTTGTTCAGCTGTCTGTCCCTCAAGCAGAAGGTGGTGGCCCTCTCAAGCCGTGAAGCGGAGTACATCGCCACCACCACTGCCGCAACACAGGTGTTGTGGCTGTCAAGAATGTTGGCAGAGCTCCTTGACAGGAAGGTGGATGTGGTTGAGCTGAAGTTGGATAGCAAGTCCGCACTAGCTTTGGCCAAAAACCCTATCTTTCATGAAAGAAGACATCAGAACCGCATCAAGTACCACTTCATCAGAGATTGCTTGGAGGATAGGAGCATCAATGCCAGCCACATTGCCACTACTGATCAGCTAGCTGACATTCTCACCAAGTCGCTGGGGAAGTCCAAGTTCCAGGAGATGAGGGAGAGGATTGGGCTACAGCAGATCACCACCAGTGCTCGGCACAAGGCTTAGGGGGAGATTAACAGATAAGTCTAGTGCTCTAGTGCTAAAGCACTTGTATCTTACTTTTTCGGCACTTTTTACTTTTCTTGGCTTCCAAGCCTAGAGTTAGAAATATGCTTAGCATCCACTTTAGTGGTTAGAATATACTGTAGCAAGTGGGAGTCCCTTTTGTCTATTAAAGGCAAGGGAGTGTCATTGTAAAAAAATAAGCCATTGCATTGCCATTCAATTCAAGCGACCAAGGGCCAATCTATCCTCTGATAGTTCCAGATCTGAATCTAAGATCCAATCGGACAAACAAGTATATCTTTCAACACAACAGTTTGATCAGCAAACTGATTGTTCACCTTAAAATGCAGGCACCATATGATCCCTATCGTATCGTACGCACCTTCAGTTGCTCCAGACACTGGGGAGATTGCCCGACGAAATACACGAGCATGGACAGCAAGACGGAGGTGGTCTCGTAGCCTGCTAAAAGCGAGTCCAGCACGAAGGTGACCTTGTCATCGTGGGACAGCTCGCTATTTGCAATGAGCCCGTCTATGAAAGCAGACTTCCTAAATGACCCATCATCGCCCTTCCACCTCTCGTCCATAATCTCTTCCAAAGTGAGAGATATCTTCCTCCTCGCCTGCTCATAATAGTTCATAAGACTAAATTAAGAGAAGTAAAACTATGGTTTGAGTGGAACAATCCCATTTTAGATAGAGTGGAGCATCATGAGTTCATCCCTCAAATTTGATGGAATAACTACATTCCTCGTACTTACAGGGAACTGCTATATTTAAAGTGACTGAATTTTTAGGAATTTTCAGATAACAATTAAAAGAACAACCCAGAAGGAACAATTAGAAATTTTTTTATATAAGAACAATGACAAAATTGCGCCTGCCTGAACAATAACAAAAAATCATACGCCTAAGATATTTGACCACGGATATACTTACTATAGTTACGCAGATATTTGACCACGGATATACTTACTATAGTTACGCACCTCTACAGCTCTGGCATACGGTGTCCCTGGGATGTTGAGAGGGAGAGAGACGAGCCCCTTCATGAAGGTGGAGTAGTGCTCGAGGAGCCTGCGGATGAGCGGCGCCTCCGGGGACAAGCCCACCACCTGCTCCACGATGGTGCCGAATGCAAACTGCATGCCAAGTGCCGGCCAAACATGCATACAAACAACCCAGAGTCAATTCAAGCCAGAAAGAGACACGCTAACTCAGAGCTTTGGGATATGATAGAATCTAGGAGTATAGAAAGACCACGCGTGCAGTGCAGTGTGCCAGTGTGCAGACAAAACATGCACACGAGCGGCTACAGCGCAGTGCTGTCCCTTGTCACACGGGATCTTGTCTGGCCGGCCACCGATCTGGAGACCTTGTACAGCCACAGGAGCTAACGCGCCTGCGCAAAGGCTAGCTTAGGGACGGAGAGAGCTGCTGGGACGTCACCTGTTTTGCCTCGTCGCAGAAGGCAGCGGCGCAGCGGCCGCGCCAGGACGCGACGACGGCGCGCGCGGCCCGGTCGACGTCGGCGAGGTAGGCGGGCCGCAGCCCCGTGGAGGCGACGAAGGCCAGCGCCATGCCGCGGATCCGGCGGTGGCGCTCGCCCGTGACCACCAGGAGGGAGGACCCGCCCAGGATGCCGCGGATCGGGCCCGGGTAGCTGCACTGGAACAGCCGCTCCTCGTTCTGCAGCACGAAGTGGTTGAGCTCCTCGTCGCACGACACCACCGTCGGCGCGCCGAACAGGTGCGACTTGAACACCGCGCCGTACCTGCATGCCGGCCGAGCACGTTGGCGCGACAGCGGCAGCGGCGTATGCGTGCCGGCCGCGTGGGAAACGAGAGACCATCATGAGCAACGAAGGACGCATGTACTACTCTGGAACCAATTTAACGATAGATGCTGACTGACTACTAGCTAGAATTATTAACGTCCATGCATGTGCATGGTGACGAACTTAACGAACCTGGTGATGTGACTGGGGTTGCGGAGCAGCGGCAGGATGTGGCGGTACACCACCGCGGCGAGGACGACGGCTACAAAGACAGCCAACAGCACAGTCGTCACCATTGTACACCTTCTAGATGTACAAGTCAAAATAAACGCGGAACTCTAAGATTATCTTGTTGGTGTGACAGAATTGCGGGGAGGGGATGAGACCCCGGCCCTTTTTATACGCGTATCGTATGCATGCTTTTTGGCTGGCTAACTAATGCTATTTACTCAAAAGGAATCCTTGAGTTTTTACCCTGCAACCTCTACTTATACTATGGCTTATTTCTGGAGATATATCTACACATATATTATACTACATATTTAATTGATTGTATGGCTTACTTCAGTAGATATATCTACATATTATTTGCAACCTCTACTTATACTATGGCTTATTTCTGGAGATATATCTACACATATATATTATAGTATATATTGATTGATTGTATGGCTTACTTCAGGAGATATATCTATATATTATAGGAGTATATTGCTTGCTTGATATACTCCACATGTTCCATAGCGTACTACGCTAATGGGTCACATGGGTAACGCTGCTGCTTTTTTTTTTTTTGAGGAAAGCAACCTGGAGCACTTTATTAATTTGCAAACACCATTACATTAGAAGCTAATGAGTCGCGTTGCCTGCGCTGCCATGGCTTCCGCCATGTCGCCAAGGACTGCAAGCGGCCAAGGCATGCTACGACGTCAGCGGCTAAAGGCATCGACTGGCCACAACACTCCACTCGTGGTGGCAACCCACCGGCTCCCAGCACGCGCCTCGCGACGGCTCGAATGGGGCCGTGCTAGATGCCGCGGGGGTGCCAGCAGAAGCCGCCGCCGACAATGGTGGCGCCAGAGTAAGCCGACAGGGGATTTTAGCTTGGGCGCGCCTGTCGACTGCGCTGACCACGCTGCTCCAACTGCTGCTGCACTCTACTTCTTCGAGCCTGATACGCTGGGGTTGGAGCTGTGCGTGAGCGTCGAGGCTCCCACGTGGGTCGACCCTATGCTAGACGAGCTCGCCGCCTCACTCGTCGTGAGTCGCCTAGCAGGAGCAAAGGCGACTGGGTGCCCATCGGCTTCGGCGACAGTCGCTCAGGAAGACACATCCCGGGTGGACACCTGCTCTCCAGTGAAGGAGCTCGCTACCTTACTCATCGTGAGCCCCCTAGCATGAGCACCAGGACCTGAGTGCTCGCCTGCTCCGACGGCGGCCTCTCAGGAAGCAGACGCATCGCTGGTGGACACCCGTCCTCTGGCGAAGACTACCTAGTGGACAACGGAGATGCCTCCGTTGCCGCCTATGCAGGGGCCACCACAGGTCACACCACCAGGGTTGGAGATGCCAGGGCGCTCCCTGACCCAGTGCTGATGAAAGGTCCTAATATGGCTAGAGGGGGTGAATAGCCTATTAAAGACTCTACAAAATCACTGGAGCAATTTGTTAGTACCCTAAACGGTGAAATACAATTTTGCTCTAGCTCTACAAGGGTTGCAAGCCACCTACCCAACAATTCTAGTTGCTATGATCACTAATTCACACATAAGCCTAGGTTGCTACTTTCTAAGCTAGTTAGCACTCAAATGCTAACTAAATAGCCTCACTAACCAAACTAACAAGCTCTCACAACTAGCTACACTAAAGAGCTTGACACTAGGCAAGAAAGTAAAGAAAGTAATACATGAGAGAGTAGGATGATTATATTGTCATGGCAAGTATGATGAACCAATCAATATGAATGCCAATCAATTACCGGGAGAAATCCAATCACAAGATGACACACGATTTTTCTTCCGAGGTTCACATGCTTGCTTTGCAACACGCTGGTCCTCTTTGTGTCGACTCAACACTTGGTGGTTCGACGTCTAAAAGGTATCACACACCTAGCCAACACTTGGCACCGCAAAAACCTACCCACAAGTGAGGTAACTCAATGACATGAGCAATCCACTAGAGTTAACTTTTGGCTCTCCGCCGGGGAAGGTACAAGACCCCTTACAAATTACTAGGAGACGGTCACGAACAATCATCAACTCATGCCGATGCTCCTCCGCTGCTCCTAGCCATCTAGATGGCGGCAACCACCAAGAGTAACAAGAGATCCGCAGCCACAACGATCCCAAAGTGCCACTAGATGCAATCACTCAAGCAAATGCACTAGGAATCACTCACAATCTCACTATGATAATGAATCAATGATGGAGATGAGTGGGAGGTGTTTGCTTACGCTCACAAGGATGTCAAGAATGTCAAAGTGCCAAGAGAGTGAGCCCCAAGCCAGCCAAACCCTTTAAATAGGCACCCCAAGAAAATAGAGTCGTTGCTCTGTCGAGGACCGACCGGACGCACCCTAGCGTTCGGTCGGCTGCGTCTGGTCAACGGATGTCGTCCACATGGCGCTATTTTGAACACTACTCGTTGGATTCTAATGGTCGAAACAGTCAGCACTCACTACTTAAATACTGACCAGACGCACTGTCGTAGCGTCCATTCCCGCTTGCGCCCAAGCCAGTGATGCCAACATCGAACTCAGCGCCCAGCGACCGAACGCGCCGCCGCCAGCGTCTGATCAACTCCAGTAAGCACCCCAAGAGGGTTTTTAGAGACCAGACGCGTCAGGTCGACACCGACAGGACGTGGCTCTGAGTCCGATCACCTCTGCGCCGCAGACTGAACTCCAGCGCCCCTACGTCACTGTACGTCATGTGCGACCTTATGCAGCCCTTATTCATCCGGTTGTGCGCCCTCGCCTACATCCGATCGTGAGGCCGAGCGCCTCCGTTTCTGCGCTGACTGACCAGACGCGCCTAGGGTGAGTCCGGTCACCCTGGCACCAGAGTCCGGTCACTACTGTCTCCTCCTTTTTCTTTTTCTAACTCCTCAACCACTTCACCCTTACTTCCAAGTTGCTAACCACAAAGTTGGTCCTTTTGCTCATGTGTTACCATTTTTCAAAACATTTTATAAGGGTTAATTGTTAGCACACTAGGTCCCTAATGCATATGCAAGAATCATGTCACCTAGTGGCACTCGATAACCGCTTAGCCAAAGCTTTCCCCTCTTTATACTACGGCCCATCGATCCTAAATCACTCACACCCTTTATGGTATCTTGAGTGCAAACCAAAAATAGCTCCTATCATTATACCTTTCCCTTGAGCCCATTTTTATTTTTCTCTTTCTTCTTTTCCAAATGTGAAGCACTTGATCCATCTTTTTGTAGCCATCACCTTAACCATGACCATCATCTAGCTCCACTACTTGGATTGGATTACCTTATCTAATTCACATACTTAGATCAAAGGTTAGTCCTAGGTTTCATCAATTATCTAAAACAAAACTAGGGCTTTCAATCTTCCCCTTTTTGGTAGTTGATAACAACCTTTTTACAAAGATATTCAATGAAGTTTTTGTGACAGAACCGCCTAATTTATACAAGATCAAGTATGGCTGTTCCCGCTAACATATTGACATGCGCATACTCTCACTTATATAAACCTGGTAGTCCACCGAGTGTCACAAAGGACCTCGGTAAATCAACATCACAACCAAGATCGCGTGATTAAGCAAATACACATCACATACGCAGAGTTGCAATGGAAATAATATTACAATTGGGTTCACGAATAATAGTACAAGTTTGGGTTTCAAAACCGATTAGTAAAAACAACATAGCTTTCAAATGATTACATTAATATAAGTTTCAAATACATTGCTAGCATAAGTGACATCCTCTGATAAAAGCATTAGATGAGAAATAAATATAGAGTCACCGAGCCCACCGGTGGTTAGCCACCATCTTCAGCAGGCCAAGAACTTCACCTGCAACATGGTGGGATAAACCCTGAGTACTTGAATGTACTCAACTAGACTTACCTGTCATAAACCAGAGTATGCAAGGCTTTATAGGTGGATCTAGCTTGACAACATTTTGCATAAAAAACAACTAATTCAGTTGTACAATTATTCTTTGGTCATGAAGTTAATTATAGCTATTCATCTCTAGATTAGCAACTAACCTATGCCAAACATGTGGTATATCATTTAATAGCATACAATAGTAACCATAGCCGGTGTAGTAATTCCATGTTTATCCGAACCATCACATTCCATAATACAATTACTACGATATTGGTGCTAGCCAAGTTTCTCACTATCCGGGAGAGATGGTAATTCGAATCGATTTCAACCAGCTAGAAATTTATTCCTAACACAAACCTAGATATTCTTGCGCCAAGGTAGTCTTAGGTCACTTTTGGTACAACTCAGGTACACATTTTGCGGGTTTGTCCAGTGCCGCACAATTAGGGACAACCAGCTGCCAGGATGATCAGGACTACCCTGCCCTTGGGCTCAAGTCTGGCTCCCCGCACATCCTTACTACCATCCAGAGTGCGCACTTTTACAGAACAGGGCCCGGCCTAAGTTGAGCTACTCGGCTTCAGCGGTCGGAACGAGCTATCCGGCCAGCTAAGTGATAGGCATGCGTTCAATCTTGTCAGAAGGGCCAACAACGGTACGGTCCTTAATCGACACAGACGGGGATAGATCCACACCCAAGACCTCCATGTCTTGTTGCTTCTCTATTGACATCCCACCCGGTCTCCATATACATTACCCCATGGTTCTTTTCCACGATAGCAAATATAGCCAACCGTGCTTCGGAATCCACCTATATCTCGCAGGTGATAGGAAATCACCCGACTTCTACCGGTCTAAGCATGGCTAAGCATATATTCGATCCTGGACCTACACAGGGTTAAAGGTACATCTCTAAACAAGGTAGTTCTATGCATCAAGTGGTTCCAAATAACTCTTATAACCTAATGCATCAAGCATAAAGAACTCAAGTGATATTTGTAAAAACATAGTAGGCTTAGAATGCTCTAGGCTTGGCTATGATCCAACACTAGGTCAGTGTTTGTTAGTATACTTGGCCATCGGGGCTGGCTGGCTCGGCACGGCCCGGGCACGGGCCAGGTTGGCCCGGAGGATCGTGGTCACCGGAGTTGGCGTCGGAGATGGCGAGGCGTCACTAGCCACTGCGTTTGAGAGCAGCAGCGGCGGCTGGT